CATGTGTAAGAAAAAGAGAGACACTTTATTTGCTTTAGGAAAATGCATGCGCTTTAACACATACGAGTGAAAGGGGACACACATAAGAAGCACTCCCCATGGCACGCTTGCTTAGAATATATTGTTCACTTTTTGCCAACACTATGTCACGTCTTCTTCTTGTAAGAAAGACACGATATTTACTAACCATTGGTCCGACTGATCTCTCGAATCTAAAAAAGAATGCTCTTTATATGAGATCGAGAATACTTGATCGTGCTAACAATTTTCACCGTACATTTGAGCATATCACGTAAGTTGGTGAGACGAAAAATATGTGACCTCCAAAAGGTTGCATGTTCTTATTTGAGCCTTTGGTTCGATTCGCGCTTGGAGACAAAATGGAAGACAATATGGTTTCCGTTCAACTTCTTGGTCATCTTTAAATAAATAAATAAACATCGACGATCCAAAGTTAACGTAATCTGTCACGACCGTGTCCCGATGATTTTTAATTTTTGCGCGGAAATATTTTTGGATCGAACATGAAAAATGAAACAGAATAGATTTTTCTTTAAAAGGGATTTAAATGGATTGAACTTATATAACGTTTCCTCTTCAACGATAAACGAGCCCATCAAGCCCAATTAACCCACCGAAACCCTACTCATCCACTATATAAAGGGAGAGGATGTGAGACTTAAAGACCAAGAGTGCAGCTGCGGCGAAACCCTGACCGTTTTACTTTTCACCTTGTAAACCCTAGCTGCCCTTAGAACTGAACTTCACCGCCGGATTGAGAGACGATTTTCTGACGAACCGTCACGAACTATGCGACGATATACATATCTGTGGAAAGGTCCGAGTCTCATCCAGAAAATCTAATAACTTCACGATCCAAGTTTTGTGGTGAAAGTTATGGCCTGTTCTTTCCAACTGTCATGATATGTCTTTTTCTCGAACAACCGTAGATTTGACCAGTTTCGGTGCGGAATTGAAACCAAGGATCAAATCAATTCGGATCAATATGAATATTGGTAAGGACTTTCCTGACTCTCTTATTTACCCAAGGCAGAAAGCGGTTTGTCATTTGAAGTTGTGATATGAAAGTTATGGATGTTTTCTCGTAGTTGTTATTTGCGGTGAGAGTTTTCGACCAGTTAGAGGAGAATTTACGCTGCAGTTTCATCAATGATCGGATGAAGCTTATATTTGGTAAGCAGATTCTTAACTCTCTGATGTAGTAATATTTGAAAGAAGTTTGTCATTCGGTGTTATGGAATGAATGTTATGGATGTTTTACTTGGACTGATCTGTACAGAGTGAGTATGCGACCAGATGACTTCGCATACGTTTTTCGGCCAAATCTAGAAGAACTAGATGTTGATATGGGCGTCGTTAGAAAGATCACGGATTCTAGTTTTTGTAGAAGCTTTCGGTTCTAAATTACGAGGTATAATCTGCTCGTAATTTGTATTTCAATATTGACAAACATCACTGTTTCTGAAACTGGAATTCTTATTTTCATACCTGATTAGAGAATTTGTGAGCTGATTTCCTGTCATTCTGAAAGGACCCAGAAGACGATATGGATATCATTGGAAAGCTCCGAGTCATGGCTTTCTAGAGGCACCAAGTTTGTCTTGATCTGAGGTACGAGTAAGAAGTTATAGCTGTTTTCTTCTGACTGGTTTAATTTGGCCGAACTGAATAAATATTTTAGGAAGTTTAATAATAGAATGTTAAACATGGGATCCTAATCGCAGATTCGCAGTAGCTCATTCTTCCATGTTCATTCTTCCATGTCAATCTATCCATAAAGGCTAAGGTGAAGGTGTTGTCTAGATTACTTTAATACTAGTTAACACTAAATGTTCTTACATGTTAGTCTAGGGATGGAATGTGATGTTGTTGGTTATATGTGCTAAGTCTAGGAATGTTTGATGCTTGCTGATTGTTAGTAAAGATTGTTTGATGTGTGAAAATTGTTTGGTAGTTAAATGAAGTTAAAGATTAAAAAGTATTGTTTGAGATTGTTACAGTATAGGATAGTTCTGTGAACGATCGCGTACGTAAGCCTGTTACAGAACTTTGCGTGTTGGACTACGAACGATCGCGTATGTAAGCCCGTTGTAGTCCATTAGGCCTTAGAGGGCCATGACGGGGAGGACAGACCCAAAACGCGAGAAAGDGGTTGGCTCCGCCGTGRATTT